TTGGGGGGAGCCGCTATTTCCAACTTTTTGGTCAAACATGCCCAAGTTGCGTCCAAACGTGCCCAAGTTGTGCCAAGGCAAGTTGGAGCCAAGTGGCCCGAGTTCGAGGCAAGCTACGCCTTGGGCACAAGTCGGCTCCTGTTCGGTCCAACTTAACTAAGGCCAAGGACGGCCAAGTTTGACCCCAGTCCTTTGGTTGGGCTAAGTACGCCCGTGTTCTTCACCCCGCATCCCCAACTACCATACTCCTCAACTTCGAAAAGTCGTCCCTGACCTATATAGATATAGATATAGATATAGATATAGATATAGATATAGATGATATATATATATATTTGAAATTGGGGTGCGGGCGGTACTCGTCGCGAAGCGACTCGAATATAGAGGTTAAGACCGCCACAGACATTCAGAAAGCCAGTACTCCACTCCACATCCCAAAAATTAGTCCATGCGTTTTCGTTCGCTTGAATTTTGGAGAGCCCAGGAACTTGGCAACCTTGCGCGGGTACTTTGAGCCAGGGGAAATGATGTGGATCAGTACCTCAGTGAAGCTGCTGAGCACCCAGCATTTCTGCTGATTCTTAGATTCTAAGATGTAAATCCTACCGGGTCCTACCGGTCCGATGTCTGAACTTGCCTCTCCAACTTGCAGGGATTGAGTTTCAGAATCCGGCACGTTGGATTATCCACTCAGCAGTGCCACCAGGTTTCAATTGCAAGTCCTTCCGCAGACCATGCGAAGCAACTGGGCATCTGTTCGATTGCAAAGGTCTGCTGCCTGTTCCTTAGTGGTTGGGCCACGCCATCCCAAAAAACATGATGGGTCACTTGGAATCATCATCGCCGCATTTGGGGTTGATTTTTTCTATGTATACCGCATCTAAACAACCAGCACCCAGACAACGAAATCACATAGACATAGTGCAGGTAATGGTGCTCCCCCAAAATGTTGTAAAACGGTCCCTGTGGGCCAAACCGGTCAATTTGTTTCAACCATCCCAAAACATACCCTCTGGTAAACATACAAAAAGCTATTGAAAATGGCCCAGTCGAAATAGTGGATTTACCCATAAAACATTGTGATTTTGGTGATTTTCCATTGTTACGTTAGCTTGCCAGAGGGTAACCTCTGGATCCACAAGGTTGATGCCCAGCATCGCAGCTGTCCACATCCTCACGCCCCAGCAGCGCTGCTGCCGTGCGCAGCCGCGGTGCCGCGACGTTGTACCAGAGAACGGGGTCTCCATGAAGGGAACCGCCTGGCAAAAGGTGACGCCTCCGGAATCCGCGAAAACACCGATGCGAGATATCTCGGAGTCGCCATCTTTAGGAGTCTCGCCATCTGTATATTGGTTGGTACTGGGTGAAGGGATTCCAATGGCTATAGTTGGCTAAAAGCTGTTAAAATGAAAAGTCTCATCATCTCGTACGATCGTAGTAAATTCTTTGTAAATCCTGCTCGTGTGACTCGATAGAAGCATCGATCAACCAGGACCGATATTGCTCAGTTGGATGAGCAGGTGCCCATCCCAAAAGCCATGATAAAACATGTTCAGAGGATTTAGAATGTTCTGAACACTTTTACTGAACCCAAGCTTTGATTTGGAGCAGATATTTTTTTATTATGTGGGCAAACCACTTTGGCCGAAAATTGTTTTCCAGTCGCCAACAAAAATGGCATCTGGCCAGTCTTCGGCCTGGATCGAGATGATCTGTCTCTATACAGAAGGAGAACTGATCGCTTTCTTGTGCCATAGTTCGACTTCCTCGGCCCAATGAATTGGTCAGATGGTTTTTTCCTCTCCCCGTTGGTTGAATCAACCCACCCTCTGCAGCCAAAGGGTCTTGCCCGTTCAAAGATGGAAGGCAGCTCAAAAGAGATGTAGTAGCCATAGCGATCATCTCAGCCGTGGCCGCTATGTTTATTTGCAGTGGCCGACGATTCGGGAGACTGAACACATCGCACAAGCCTTTCCTTCAAAGTTCCAGCAGTGTTCACTTCCATCTCTGGGTAAAGTCACTATACATCCAAGATCATCCAAGGCATCTTTTTGGTATCTGAAAACGTCGGACCATTTTGGGTTGCTGCACCCCTCTCCCCCACCGGGCCCCACCGAAAAAGTCCCCAGGGTCCGTCACCTGGTGATTGATGCACCTGCCGTTCCACGGCCAGCTGCAAGACGGTGTTGGCGGCCTCTGACAATGCCGAGCCGGTTTCCTCAGGCGGCACCCGAAGGCTAGCGGCTATTGGATGCCGCTGAGGGATTTTTGTGCACCAAACTTTGAGCCATTTTGTGTTTCATGAATCTTAATATATCCGAATTAATGTCAACCCTTGATTAATAAACCCCTGGCTGTTTAATTGGAAGGGTGCCATTTAAGTATTTGATTATGACTGTTGGAGGAGTACCCCCCTAATTAATAAACCAATCCGGGGTTGACATTAGTCTTAACATGTCTTAACTGTGACGCTTTTGATGGGAGGCACTTGGCTGCGTGGCCATCCCAGCCTGTGGGATTCGCAACCAAGTTGTACCTGCCATGCCGAGATTCAAAGCCCACAATGACCTGGCTGTTGGTGTTCCTCAGATGTCAGGAAAAAAAACTTGGCGATGCAACTGCGCAGCCCGGTGCCACATCAAGGGAAATCCAACAGGGATTTTTTCAGGCATCAGTACCAACGCATCCACATTACAAAAATATACACATGTGTGTAGAATATGCCTGAATGCAGTCGTGCAGGCATGCATGCTTGTCGTCTATCTGCCCCTCTTACACTGATACCAACTCGTTGCTATCAATTGCTTCGGGATTTGGGGCAACCTAAGGTATGTAGCTTGAAAGAATGGGCATGCCACAGCAACATTTGGAGCCACAGTCAGTCAGAAGCAAACTTGGCTGGATGGTTTCAGGAAGTTTATGGAAGCTTAGTGGGTCAACATGAAGTGTCACCTCGCTTTAAAACAAAATCATTTGGCAAGTTTCTATATTTTTAAAATTAGTAGATTTCTACTTATTACTTTGTGATTGCTTTAGGCATACCATGACCCCAAAAAAACAGCTTCTGTATGTACATGTACGTGCGCATCTATCTCCGTGGCATCTGTGCTCGTGTCATTCATTTCTCCAATTTGGGGTTTTGTCCATGTATCGATCTATGAAAAATTCTTCATCCCCAGTTCTGGTCATCTTTTCACCGGGGACCTTGCTCACCAAGCAGCTTGGCCACCACGAACTGCTGGTTTCCGGCACAGAGATTCCACTTCACCGCCAGCATGGTTTGCCCCAGCGGCTGCAAGAGAGCCAGGTAGGGGAAAAGCGCGGTGAAGAGTAGCAGCAGAAACAGCACCAAGGATTCCTATGGTCACTGGAGTGATTAGCTGGTATAACAGAAAATTCACAGCTGATTGGATTGCTTCAATTTGATTGGTTCAAGGGGAAAGCTATGGTTGAATGTGGTTGAAACTAACTGAAACCCTATATTTCATGGCAAAAACAAAGTTGGAAAATGACTATAGTTTCCTGCAAATACTCCCTGAAAGTATGGCCTGGTGGTTGAGCTATGAACAAATTTTGATCGGGTAGCTGGCTGAGCAGCATGTGGGCATTACCGACTGATCCGTATGATGAGAGGATGACATACAAGAATTGATGATCTTTATTGTTTAATTGGAGAAGAATAAACTGGTTCGTTCTTGAGCTGCCCAACCCACTGGCTGACATTCTAAAAGTTATACGCCATTCTGAGTCCATTGCTATTTGTCACGTGCTGTCATGGGGGTATCAGGCTTCATGGCCCCATCATGGCCCCATCATGCCCCAGCTTATCTTCTCCATGCCGTGCGTCGCTTTGACTTCGCCTTCGGCTTTGGCGGATCGTTATGGGCTCCAGCTTCTCGATAGCGACTTGGATGGAGAGCGGGGTGAACCCTGCGAATAGAAACCTGGGCTGAAGCGGGGCAGCCAGTGGATCCATGTGGATCCGTATGTGGCTAGGATCAATCAATATATTACAAGATTTGGGCCACAAAGAGCAGCTCATAGATGCTGATAGGTTGTTTTTTTTTGACTTTGGCATTCAACTTCAAACTTCATCCATGGACGTTTGTTTTTCTACCCCAAAACACGGGGGCAGAAAGCCCATCCCAAGGGACTCGTCCACATCGAGAATGGCATTCAAGGCCACGGCGTTCAACATCAGCTCCTTGGGGAGCGGCAAGAGCAATGCTTCATCCCAGCTGGCAGGTCCTCACCTTGCCATTTTTTATGGGAAGTTTGTGTATAAATGATTATACAATATTGTACATGGATATAAATGGAAATATGCTCGATCTGTTGTACCTCTGCTAGGGGGATTTATCCCCTTCAAATCGATTTGTTACACCCAAGCATGGACCATCAACTGGGTAAAATCATCTGAAAACTTGAGGCCCAAGGGGGGGTTCACGTGAAAAATCACAGGGTTGGACTCAGAGATGCCACTCCCTTGCTTAAGCAAGAGTAAACTCCAGCTAGCTACCGCTAGCTTTCGTGAGTTGCTGATATGTGCTGGGTAAAATAATCTTAAAACATGTCTTTTCTAAACATGTTTTTAAATCATATTTCTTGGTGAAACTCTGCCACTTTAATGATTGAACTCTCCAGACACATGCAGATCATGCAGTTGAACTATGTCGGGCATCTGTGATGGACGTGGTACGGGCCAACCACTGGGTGCCAGAGATAAGAAGCACCTCAGCTGAGCCCCGTGGAGCCAATACGAGCGGAGGTGCGTGTGGTGTGTGTTTTGTGTGCACGTGTGAATCAGAAGCAATTGCAAACAATAATATGGGTATGGATCAATACCTATTAATACCATTTTTAGTGGGATGAACATCCATTTACCAGCTATTTTGGGGTTCACCAGGGGTACAAGGTTTTGACACACTGCCATATAAGTGTAGGCTGCTTAAGCTTTAGCTTGTGGGAGGGCCTCATTTTGCTCTAGGATCGTGTGAATTTCGACTTTTTGTGGAGGTCGTGAAACTGGCTAAGCTGCCAAATATAGGTCCGACACAGGCCCAACATTGCCACAAGATCGGGACCCAACATGAGCCAGACAGAGCGCCAAGATAAGCTCAGAATAGTATAACATCGGCTGGATTGACGTTTGGTATCCTTGAAGTTCATTTTGCAACGTGTCTATGTTGGAAGTATGCTGATGGCCTTTGAATCTATGTTTGAAGTTGGTTTTAGGCAAATTCCTCACATCAAAACTAACCCAAAATACGGAGAAAAAAAACACATGTCTTGCCTGTAAGGCGAAGAAACATCAAACATGTCACATGTCAAAAAAAGCTCAATATAGCCTCAGGGCTCAACATATGCTAACCATTGCCCCAAAGCCGAATTCTAGGAATGTCTTTGAACTTTGCAGAGTCTACTGTAGCCTAGTAGGCGCGTTTCAAAATATGGACTTGACGCCGAACTTGACGCCAACAAGCCTTCAAACGCTGCTGCACTGGGTTCTTGCAGCAACCGCATTCTGGACCAAAAAATGGTCTCACCAAGCTTTGGAGAGGGAAAAAAACGAGGCACTATCAACAGGTAATTTTTGTGATTTAGTCTTTCCAAGAAACCGCAAACCTTCAACTCTGAGCAAAAAAAGCCGTTGAGGTGGTTGTCGCAACGCAACCAGAATACCAACAACATTGGTGGGCGTCGAAATCGCCCAATGGAACCGAGCCGCAGTGGCAATCACAAATCGAGTGATACACGTGGACGCCAGCCATTTAAAGCGCAGCTTTGATAAGCCTCAAACACCAAATAGCACAAGGAGGACGGCTGTGTCACTGGACTGATTGCATGGTATCCACCATGGGGTTAGATGCTCAGTTTAGGGTTTCCTGCAGTAGTCATTTCCTGCAACCCATTCTTCAAAACCCACAGGGGCCTCCACGGAGACTCTTCAAAATGCCATTGACGCAGCTTGTTCGTCCCAAGTGACCCAAGTGACCCAAGTGCCCTCAGTGCGAGAAGCTTTGCAGCTTGTTGTCCCGGAGGACCGTCTCAGGAGTGCGAGGGAGCTGCCAAATGCCTTCCAAGGTGAGCCAAATGTTTCGAAATTCCTGGCAGCCAGGAAGGCTTACTGTTTGGGTGGGCCCCACGTTCGGCAGTTCGCTTCGGCGCTCCTTGTAGACACACAAGGCCCAAAGGAGGATACAAAGCGTGCAAAGCAGGATGCCAGTTTGAAAGAAACCCGCTTCAAATTCGTCATGTTTCAGCCCCATGTAGCTGTTGATGTGCTCAACCAGAGTAGCCTGGCAGAACGACGCATGATCCCTTCAAGGGTCGTCCAAATGCAGCCTTGGGCATCGATCCCAGCATCTGAGGTACAGTATTCATAGACACTAACCACATATCAAATCAATACACGGAAGTGATGATATATTTGTGTATGCCCATCAACAGCTGGCCAATTTTTTTTTAAAAAAAAACATATGATCCGCATTATGTCATGAAAGATCACAGATCTTACACTCTATGTATGTCCTCCCTGTATTCCCCTGTTGTTGGCACCTGCCGGTTGGCCAACATCAAGGAGCCGTCGCCGCCGCAGACGCGTGTCACGAGGCTGCGGGACGTCAGGTCCACATACCTTGGGAAGTTGGGAAGCAGGGCCAGGCAGCTGGGGCAGCCATGGAATACCCTGCTGACCCCAAAGTAGCTGGGATTCATGGATGGCATAGAAGAAAAACCAATTTGAAACAGCAGAAACATGCAAACAGCATGGGAGATCATGGGAGTATGTGTCAAAGATATGTCAAAGATGTAATGTTTGGGAGATGTAACTTCACACAGATTCTTGAGACCTCTCAACTTCACCAAGTTGGGGGAGTCACAAGGGTTCAAAGCACCGATGATAATGGTCTGTGCCCGAAAGGGTGGATGATTTCTACCTCCCAAAGTTGGGGCTAGAACTGGAACTTGGAAGTGTAACTTCCACCCAAACTTGGGATACTCTAGCTGGGCCACAATCTGAATGATTGCAGTTCTGACTCCAATAAGTGGGCAACTTGGGCGATGACTTTGAAGAAAGTAGCCGCTACCCCAACAACCCCAGCAGTGAGGAATGGTAGCAATCATCTGCCATGTGAAAACCATAAACCATCACAATCATTATAAATATACTGTAAGATATATATATATATACATATATATATATGTGTGTGATTCTATTTGCATGTGCATATATTACTGTATGATACTGTATGTATGTGTGTGTATGTAAGTGTGTATAAATATATAATATAAATATATATATATATAATTATATCTATATCTATCATATAATGTATATTGTCTAGTCTAATCTCACCCATTCAGTTTTACACGACTTTCTTCATCGTACTTCCCATTCACAGCTGAGTGCCACCCACACCATTCTGCTAAAGTGCTTCCAATCATGTGCAAAGCTGCTTCGCCAGCGCCTTAGCGGCATGGCCTCTGATTCCTGTTGCTCTCGAAACCTTGTTTCATGATGGTAGGTCTACCAGTTGTAGTTTTCTTGATTCTATTCTGGGTGTGTTTCAGTACCAACTCGCAGCATTTCTTTGGTTTCCGATTTGTTGTTTTCACCTTCTTATTTATCTGTCCCTTGGGGCAAAAGAGCGTTCCGCAACTGAGGAGCTTTGCAAAAGCGACCTGTTCCTCAAACTCTTCGCCCATGAAGTCCACACCTGCCACCATGTGCCCGGGGCACACAGAAATACAACTGCTGAAAGACCACCATGGCACACAATGGCCATATCTAGTTGGGCAGAGTAAGTAAGGAAGCATAAGTGTAGAAAAACCTTGCACAAGTTGGCCATAGTTGGCCCATTCCACATGCAGCCCAGTTGCCCAGAATGATGTAGGAAAACATGACCTGCATTCCTTATGTCAAGCAAGTTGCTTCAACCATGCTTCCCCGAGATCCCAGGAGATTCAAAAACGGTGCATGACCACCGGATCCACCGGGCACGACTTAGATTCAAATGTGCCAACACCCGCCAGCCAATAACATCCAATGACCAAGGCTCCAAAGTTCAGAAACATCAGCAAGACGGAAAAAACCACGTCCCAGGGCCCTGCATCTGCCAATCCAAGCACCACAGGATAGGTCCAAGCGCTTAGGCTAAAATGGACCATTCCAACATGGTGCTCTTTGTCCTCGTGCTGCTCCACTTCAATGACTTCCTGGTCAAACGATGTGGTCTGACGAAGCCTGAGGCAACCTGCTGAGATCTTCTTTGTAAAACATATAGGTGCTCAAGAGCAGAGAAGAGGTCCCGAAAAAGCAGAATTCTTCCCTAGCAGCTTGATGGTACAATTCAATTCAGGAGTCCATCTTTTGGTGATCACTTTCCCGATATAAAATGCATTAAAATGCTCCGCAGAGTATCGACCTCCTCTGGCAAGTTTGGCTCAGTGGGGGCGTTCGTTGCGGTGTCTTGAGCAACATCCTTGGCATCTGGGTCCTGAGCGACATGACATCTGGGTGGTGGCTTAGACCCATCTAAAAGAACATCAGTCAACTCGATCATCCCAAATATTTATGGTTGAACATGTGAAACCATCAACCAGACATTCCTGATATGTCTTGGTCAGACGTCAAGATTAGTCAAAGCTACCAGTATTTCTGGAATAGGAAATGAACACGCTCAACAAATGTCTGCTTCCTGTGGTGCCTCGTTCTTGAGCTGTCGAACCATTCCAGTCTGACAATGGTACCTCTTAGCCGGGTGACCTTTGGGTCTTGGCCACTGCCGACCTCATGTCCAGCTGAGGCACCGCTTTGTGACCCGCAAATTCTTTCTCCAGGACTTCTCTCAGAAGCTGATCTTCCAAGGATTTCAGTTTGGCCATGACCTTCTCCATCTCCATCTGGAACTCCTGGAGCTCAAATGCCAGCATCGAACAGCTACCCAGTCTACCTCTGTGGTTGTTTGGTCCTGCCGCAGCACGTACAGGTTCGAGTCCTTGGCGGGTCAAGCCCCTAGGATTGCAAGGGGGTGACGATGGCTGTAGCTGGGCTTGACCTGTGGTATTAGACCTGTTGGCTGGGGCCGTCTCATCGTGTGACCTGGAGCAATCCGCATACTTCCCTGCCCTTCCGAAATTCACTGCTTTTGCCGGGCAACTGGGACATTTTCCAGGAACGAAGATTCAGATGATACCTTTGGAACTGGCATGGCGTTGTGAGGCAAGTGGAACAGCGAAGCCTGGACAACAGGAAGAGATCCAGTGAAAAAGTGCAACCCACAATGTGGATGTCCTGAGCCCAGAAAAGCTGCGACGGAGGCACCCCCAGCTTGGATAGAGTGTCACCCGTTGATTTGCCCGGGCACCTTGACTCAAAAGCACGACGGGGAATGGTACCAGGACTGCTTGCAAAACGAAACACTCGGTCACTCAGTGCATCCTTTAGAGCTGTTGTTAGTGGGTGTGATATTCCTTCCCGTATGGCCAAACACTACTAATCCAACGTAGCAATGAAAAAGATTAGTTAAAAACATGCATTGTTGATTACCTTCCCATTAGAAACTGCAGCGTTTGGGTTTTCCCAGCCCTGGACGATCTCTCACCCCCCGAGTTTTAACCACTCGTAACTCGGCCTCTGCGTAGCTTCCGCTCAACGCCAAGACCTTATCCTCGCGGGTCACCGGCATGGGCCCCCCATGATGGTTGGGATTCCTGATGCTGTCCCAGAATTGCTTTACTGGGTTGATCTGCCCCATGTTTTTTTTTCACCTCCATTTTTCCACCCAGTGACCTAGTGGATCGTGTCTGGTTTGGTCACTGTAAATCCTTCCAGACGTCCATCAGGTGCAGCAGCAAAGTTTAACAGTCCTGGCAAGCGCTCTCCACGCCGCTCGTTGCCTAAGTTGCTCGCAGCGCCAATGCACCAAACTCGGGTACTCAACAAAAACTGCATTCCCCTGCTTAAATTCGATCATGTACATGGCAGGCCTCCCTGGATATTCCACGAACTTTGAGGCATCTGGGTTCATCTGAGAATAATGTACCTCAAAATCCACTGCTCAAATGGATGTTTCCTAAAATGGGGGTATATAAGCGGTATATACCCCTAAATCATCCATGTTCAAGGATTTTCCATTGCAAACCGTCCATTTGGGGGTGCCCCCATTGTAGGAAAACCCCAATGATGAATCATGTTTTCCATCCTTTCTCCGCACTAAGGTTGGCCACTGGGCATCCCCACCTTGGATAGTGACTCGATGTCTCTCTTCACCTTGGTCGGCCGGAAGTCCCTGGTGGTGCCCATGCTGTGTGGCTGTTGTCTAGGTCTCCCAACTGGCATTGAAAACCACCAAAACTGGAAGCAGCGGATGATGATATCACCATGATTGAACTTATCGAACTGGATCACAAGAAAAATTGCTCAAAACAAAAGAATTGCCCGACTTTTGGCGCGGTTGTGTTTAGTTTTTGAGCTATGCGGAGCCATGCTAGAAACATGTTGGTGAGCTTTAAGGGGCAGCCTGGCCGCCAGGCGTTACTTCGCGCCAGTCAAACCCATACTTGACCAGACTGCTGTGTTTCTCTTGCTGGTTGAAACTATCATACCATGTATTCTCATCCTTGACATTAATACATTGGGACAATCATCCCATCCTTGTGGCATCCCCATTTTTGCTGCTCGGTGATTCAACCACCCACAAGAATATGCTGGCTCCATCACGTTTGCAGCTACTAAAGATCAAGTTGCTGAAGCTAGGACCCGGTTGAGGATGAGTCAGTCAAGATCATTTAAATATGTCCGTGGTATGATGTCTATCTATCGGATACTATCCGTCCATCCGTCAGTCCATCTACAGTACCTCTCTACTTATCTACGACTCTACGATTCTACCATTCTACCTAATTATTCAATCTATATAATGTAAATATAAATATAAACGTATTTGTCATTGGTTTTTTTTGTAAAGGAAAATGTTTGGGAGGTGGACATCCACAACTACCGGCTATTTCGATGTTCACCAGTCCTAGCCGGTCCTAGCCGGTCCTAGCCCACCCTGAGCCCGGAACAGCGCTCATCTGCAACTGCCAGGACTCGCAGTGATCATTCACGGCCTCCAAAAAAAAGTCCCCCCGAATGATTCCAATTCATTATTTTCTGGGTGGTAGTTAAACTAGTAGTTAAATTAGTATAGTTAAATAAGGGGATAAATAAGATTAGATTCAAATAATTTAAAGAAAAGAAACACTCACTTTCGCGAGTTTTAACTCGTATTTCACACGGGCTTTTTTCGTAGACACAGAATGACACTTTCGCGACTCCAAAACGCCCCGCCTGGCTCAGGCGTCGATCCACTGAAGTCACTTCCTGGCGCTGTCTTTGCGAAAAACCAGAAATGGGCGCCGTGTCTAACTTAGCATTGAAATGTCATCAGTGTAGACGTGTAGAAAAGTTTAGTATCAAAAACATTCAAAAACCCATTTCAGATGCTTGTTCTGTCCTTTCCCCCAGCCAAATAGGCATTGTTTTCCCGCGATGTTTCCCAACTGGTAGCAGCAATTGCGTAGGGGAGCCATGTTCAAATGTCATCAAATGTCGGGGGTGTAAAAAACAATATTCAAATCAAGAACTGGGCTGGTCCCCTAAGCAGCGAAAACGGACAAGCAACCTGGCGCAGCATCTGCATCTGTTCCTGGGGCGATGATCACGAGTATTTCCAGTAAAATTAGCATTTTAGAACATCCATTGTCATCCATATTTACAGGGATACAACGATGTTGATTGCCACATTAAAATTGGTGCCGGACCAAGAGCTCAAAGAATCATCGTGCTGTAGTTGATAAACACGATGCCCATGTCTGAAGAACGGGCATGGAGTCCAACAAGGAAAGATCAAAAAGTCAGCCTCATAGAGGCTAAGGTCACAATGGGAGTGACAATGGGAAAATCATCTACAAATCGGTGATTCTCCATGATTCTCCATTACCATCCATTACCATCTTTGACCCGAGGTATTGATGATCACAGGGCCAAAGAGAGACTTAAACAGCGAGTCCAACTGGGCTAAACTTATCACCTGGGTTTTACTAAGGGCCCATTGTCACAGCATCCAAAAAATTGGACATTGACCAACTGGGTGGATTCTTGAGTGGTCCACCGCAAAAAATTGGGTACCCGAAAATAGCATGAGAATTTCAAAAATTATCCAAATTTGAATAGATTATAATAGATTTGATTGAATAGAAGCAAATGTTGCCCCCATTACATATCCTCCTTGGCACGATAGACCTTCGACCGATCATATCGATCATTGGGAACCCTTCGATAGCCCACAACCCTCACCTCGGAAGCCGTGACCATTTGAAGCAAGGCTGGACCTCAGGAATTTCCAACAACCCCTCTTGGTGGAAGCTCCCAACTACAATCGAAGCACAGGATATTGTTCACTTGCAAAAACAGCGTAGCACCGATTTCTCACACATAGAAGGGGCAGATTTTTTGCATACCTTTCAGCCAATCTGCCCCACTCCCATTGTTGAGGCTTGGCATCCGCACCCTCCATCTCTTTCCTGGTATGCTTTGCTGGGAAGTGCCAGAAAGGAAATAATCTTCCAATATCTTCCAGACCTGCACATCTTCAAGGATGTCTATATATGGTTCGGAATCCCTGTCCTTCGTCTTTGAGGTGTGGGGGGGCGAATTTGCACGGTCGCACCTCTGCCTTTTCTGCTCCATCACCTTGTTGGCAGCCTCACATGCACGGAGGGGAGAGCGGCGTTTTTTCTCCATGCAAGCGTGCATTTTTTGGAAAACCACCAGTTGGCAAACTCTCAAGAAAGTGCTACTCCCCGTGTTTGTCCAGAATTGAGGGATGTGTCGATTTACCGTCATTTAGCAAGGGTAAATGATGTGTTCTACTCCCAGAATTGGTTGGCTGCAGGGTTTATCCCCCACCCCACCAGTTTTGATGGGAAACCCAGACCCACTGAAAGCCCGTACCCTGACGTAGATGTGGCCAGTCCAAACAGTCTTCAAAACAGTCATCGCTGCATCATGTTCTAAACCGCAAATCTCAAAAAGATTGAAAAAGTTTCATCACAACTGACCTTGAGGATCCTTGAGGTATATCACAGAAAACATCTCAGCTAAAAATAGTTTGGGCCCAAAACCTTGAAACCCCCTCAGGCACCTCACAGTTCGCCACTCGGGTCTGCAGCTCAGCCAGGTCTCGGGCACTAGCAGCATTCGACAAGTCCGCCTGCAATGGAAACGCTGATGGTTGGCTACCCTCTGGTAACGTAGTGATGATAGCGATGGAAAATGGCCATGTAGTGCGATGATTTACCCATTAAAAGTGCTGTTCCATAGCTATTTGAAAAGATCATCTAGAATCATCTGGAATCTAGATCCAACATGATCCAACTGCAGCTTTCTTGGCCAACATCTTCAGCTGCTCGCCTGGGCAGCGATCCTATCCCGAAGCTCGTGCCAGAGATGAGCCACATCCTCCTGGTCGGTTGGATTCGGTTGGTTTCAATTGGATCATGGGGAATTTCCGAAAGCCATTTTTTAACCATCATTACCCTCTGGTAAACGTTTACATAACTATGGAAAGATCCACCATGTTTGATGGGAAAATACCCATTATTTCGACTGGGTCATTTTCAATAGCAAACTGTAACAAATTACCAGAGGGTAACCATCAATATTGATCTATCTTGGGGGAGGTAACCATGTAAACTTATGTAAACTTGGCAGATTTGGTTGCTACATGTTGCTACCAATCCATGGCGACTTTCGGTGGCCATGCTCAGAACATTTCAGAACTCGAAGGGTTTGAGCGGATTGACTGTTTAACTTGACCAACTCGAGGACCTAGTGAAGCTTGAATTGAACCCACAAAGAACGGTTGGGTTTGAACCTGTTCAATTGTCAAATGAAAACAAAATCTGTCATATGATTCCGAGTTCACTTTTCTTCAACCAGACTGGCGATTCTTGTGTGCAAGCAGTAGCCAGTCGCTACAGAGCATCCATGGCTGTCCTTGATGGCATCCATCGCATGAGTCTCGGCCTCGGTCCACCACAACAATCCCGTGGTTTCAGGCTGAGCGACATGATACCCTTCTCTTTCCGGACGGCAAATTTCCCCAGGCCAACCATGAAACAAGAGATGAAAGAACAGTGAAAGAACTCTTGCTATCCTTCAAGATTGGGACAGCACACACTGCACAGCAAGCTGAAACCTTTTCCTCGTGGATTTAATCTCGACTGCCGGTGCTGGTACAAGCCAGAGAAGCGTCTCAGCACTGGCACAAGAGCCAGATTTTCAGCATGTCTCCCAGTCACGTCCCACCCTGTAGTGTAAGATGGCAGGGGCCAACATGAACCAACTACAATCAGACTATGGGGATATGATTGCCAGGATGGAACTTGGCAGATCATGCTGGTGATTTGCGTGTCCAGAATGTTGTCGATTCTGGATATATATCATCCCCCATCATCCACCGGGTCATCAATCCGACGACATGCAGCAGGAAGTTCAAACATTCCAAGACACGCATGGCCAAAGAGGGGGGGCGGAAGTTTCCAAGAAGGATGAACAGAAACCACGAGGTGTGTGCAGCTGTTGCATCTGATAGATTGGTTTGGATGATCTTTTGCTTGCGTTATTCATTGAATGATTGAGTGGTTTGAAAATGTACGCATTCACTGGTTGACAGATGTCCGGCTGGTCGCTTGGATTTTGTTACATAAAATCACAAGTCTGATTGAGCAAATTGCTTGCTTTCTTGCCTTGCGCTTGCAAGCACGTGTCATAAAGCTTTAAAGAGGAAACCTGCAGAGGCAAATGCAGCCATCAAAAAGCTCCCCATTCAAAAAGAAGTGTCTGAAGTCTGAAGATCATTTAAAGGAAACTGCAGCTTCTCGAGATCCAGACGGTTTCATACGATGCAGCAAAGGCTCAAGGAAAAGGAGCCAAACAGCATCTCCGAAGGATCTAGGACAAACGCGTTGTCAAAGCAGGTTATTTCTAATGGAGCGGCAGGATGCGGTCCACAGCGACCACAAGCGCACTCCTTGCAAAGCCCTTCCTACACATCTTGCAACCTCTGCGAACCAAAACAGAATCGCAGACCCCCAATCCACCCCACCAACAAACACTCAACGCAGACATGGCAGTGCTCCCAAACCATCCCAAAGCACAATGGCCACAATGGCACTGTGCAGTCCACAGCAACCACAAGGACTTGATCGGGCCACTAGTCTTCCGTGCTGGTGCTCAGATCCAGAAGATTTCACAACATTCTTACTGGGCGTACCCCATAGTATACATACATACGTATGAATGAGTGGAATCAATAACTTCTCAGCTGCAAAGGGTGGCAGATGATGGGTGACCCATATTTGATGTCTATTGATTTCTATGCAAACGCTCTGAGTTGCAAAGTCTGAACTTAGAGCCTGCCAATGACTCATGGGCCTTTGCCCGCAAAATTCTTTACAGAACGGTACTAGGAGGGCCTGGTAAAGCACCACTGAACTGTTCATGAGAAGATGGGTTTTGCCTTGGTTGTGCAAAGTTGACATGCTTGATTGCCAGAGAGCACGTCATGTTCCTAGGCCCTGTAGCTGTACCAAAGCTTTCTACTTCTTTCTGCTCTGCCAGACCTCTTTGGTACGGCAGAGGTTGAATTCCGAGTCCCTGTAGACCAAAGCCAAATGGTGAGGGGTCTTGGTCAGCATGCCACTAGGGAAGACTCAACAATGTAGATGTTGGCATGTCATCTTGGCCAGGGCAAATGACGCATTTTTCATGCATGCAAAGCAAGATATCCAAGGAAGTTGTTTATAAGGTCCAATATGCGATCGACATTGATCAACATGTCAGTTCACAGTTCCTCATCGCACTAGTTTCACCTGGTGTTCCTGTCAGCCCACGGCTAGGATCTGAAAAATTCGAGGCCGGATTTGTGCCTGACCTCGAGCTGAAAAAATGCTTCATCCTCAAAAGAAACGCGTTTGGCCTCATGGGCATACTATCTGCAGAGTTGATGCCACTGGATGCTGCACCGCTAGATTCCTGACATGCCACTGGCTTTTTGGTGTGGCTGGGGGTCCAAATTCCAGACATCCAGATGAAGCTAAGTGATCAAAACCTGAGGAACCGCCATCCATTGGGGATGATAAGACTCTTGCAGCTGGGCGGCAAATTCAAACAATGCTGTCACGGCCAAGCGCGACTGCCTGTGCGAAGCAGTTGCGTCAGCTTCAGCTCCCCAAAACCCTTGGAAAGGTCAAGTGTAGCTTGGCTTTGCTATTCGCCGTTTACAGGGAATGATCGCCACACCTGCAGGAACCAATCATAGGCCCAAAGTGGCCCAAAGTTGCCGTTCCAAACAAGTGGGGAACAGCTGGGACGATGTCTATCTACCTCAGCCATGCCCGCTGCCTATGCCCAAATCCCAAGGGTGCCCATGGCGGCAAAACCAGCTGCGCAAACCTCGATTTCCATCGCGCTCAAAGGGCTGTGAAAACAGAAAGGTGGCACTGATTTACAGATCGCAAGCGCACCCATGACGACACCCAGCTTGTCATTACAAGAAATACCCCGCATTGATGGTTTCGATTCAATTCCTTCAAGCTCTGATTTATTAAATTCCAGCAAAACAGGCCAGGTCTGAAAAGACTGGGTATACCCATATATCAGTGTGTATATATATATATATCCATATCATATCCATGTATACATATAAATTCATCCATTAAAAAGCGCTGCCAGGGCGCTCCCATCTGCGCGAGGCGCCCAACGACAGAAGGCAGCCATGGTTGGCGGATGCCGGGCATCGTTTCGACCAGGCCTAAAGAACCACAATGAAAACCAACAAAAACACATATACCATCTGGTTATGACTAACATAGCCATGGAAAATCCCTTACAAATGGAGGTTTCTAGCTGGGAAAATCCATTATAAATGGGACATTTTCCATGGCTATGTTAAATAACCAGAGGGTATATATATATACGGGTTTTCCATGGTTTTCCCTCAACTAGGTCGACCATTTTCCTAGGGAAACCGTTGGTGTTCCACATCTATGTTAGGTTTGCTCCATGCTGGTGTTTTGCATGGATTTAACCATCGAAAAGAGGTACTCAACTAGGATAATAGGGACAATCTAGGTTTGTGGGTGGGGCTTACTAGGAACGACTCATTAACCACCAACAACCACTTTTATAATGGCGTATCAAACATCTATTAGTGGGTGGGTCGCCGAACTGGGGGGGTTGAATGGTTTTCAGTGGTGGTTTTCAGGTTCCACAAAGGGGGGCATCAAGAAAACAAGTTCCTTTCGGGGTCAGATGTCTTTTTGGGATGCAACAAGGATGTAATGAGTATGTGATGAGGACCAAGGATGTAGTTGGATGACGAACAGAAATGAGGATCTGATCAACGGTCCGTAATCTTGACGACAGCCACTCCATCCAAGCTGCCGATGTAGAGGAATGTTCCAGCAGAAATGGACAAGAGCACGCTCCTGCTGGCTGCTGCCACAGGGCTGTGCCCTGAAAAAAAAATCAGGGGAGCAGGGGATGGTCCACCAGGGGGACCGAACAACCAATTGGTGGGGAGGGCTTGAGTGTTCTTTTACATTCATTTTTTTCTGCCAAGGCGCGCAGTGCTGCCTTCTGCGGTCTGCCCGATCAATACTCCCAGAGGCGAAAGGATGGAGAAAAATGCCAAGGCGAGCCAATAGCCTCCTCAGCCGGTCCAACTGTTGTTTCTACTGTGCATTTTTGTGTAAATCTGCATGCAGGCCCACGGGCTCTGGCACATAACTGACACAACTCTTTGAGGAAAAGACTCCAGGTCTCTTTGCTGGGACCCTCAATAGTCTGGTTGGTGGCTTTAGCCCATGCGGAAAACTCTAAAAACAGACTAAAGAACACCAAAAAAAGGTGGTTTAGAACATCAAGAGGTTATGAGACCAGCCAGTAAATAGCGAAAACTGCATTCCGTCTGTTCCAAAACCCTCATGCTTGCTTTAAAATTCAACCAAACCCCATGTGGCCCGTGGCAACTTCCCTTTTTCCGAGCTTCGAATGCCATTCCAATTGATGCCCAAAGTGAAGGCTGCCATGCCCTGTGTGGAGAAGGCGCCGCTTTCAACCGTGGCAATGGCTGCATTCAATCTTTTAGGAAACCCAAAAAATAGAAACGCTAAGTTTCCGGTATATAATACAAGTACATTATATAATTTCTAAATCAATTGCATAAAGTGTGTGTATATATATATATATGTGTGTGTATGTGTACGTGTGTATATCTTTACCACTTGTTCGGTTTGCCGTATGTGAATACCCACTGATACTTAAACGGTCTCTAATTCTGCGGGCCACTGGATGATTCGGAATTGCCATGGTTACTAGTTACGACAGTTGCGACTTTGGGCAGCAACGATTAGAGCATGCAATCCAGCGCAACGGAAATGTGAAAGCCAGAAGCCAGAAGCTTCACCAAAAACACAAAAGGTGACCTGAGAAGCAAAGCACGGTTTTTTCGGAAACCAAGAACCACCAAGAACCACCAAACTTCGTCTTCTTCCTGATCATCCATCTCACCCTATCAGCTCTATCAGATGGGCATAGTCAGTGCTACAGGATGATGGGACTAACGCGAATGATCATGCGCCTGGCAAAGTGGTTGGTAACCAGACACGAGTAACCCCGGGCTAGTTTGAGTGAATTAATCCATGTCAATCCTATTGCTCATCAAATTGTGAGTATTTATCAGGGGGTTCAGGATGTTTCAGGCTGGTTTCATTGATCTACTTTTGAAATTCCTTTTAGATTAGTTTCAGACTCGGGTAGGACACGTTCCCAACTACTGCTGAGTCCTTTGGGGCAATGAATCTTGATTCCTCCTGGGAGCAGCGCGTAGAGCGCACCTTGTGCGCCAGAATGGGAAAGAAAACGTCCAGGACATGCCCCTCCTAGCACAGCTGGACCGAATGACCATCCTAAATTCTAAATTCCAAGTTTTCAAAATTCCTGGGGGGAACCCAGTTCTGAGATCAGTGATCATTGAGATCTCCATTCACGAAACAACCATCGGAACCCAACAAGCCGGAAAAGGACTGCGGCTCGCCGCACAGCCCGACCTGCGCTGCTCCAAGGCTCAAGCCCTGGCCGTGCTTCATTTGACTTTCAAGCTGTGATTAGCTTGGAAAACACAAACACTATCAAACACTTCTATGCAAAATGCACCAAAAAAATCTGCGAATGGAATCTGATGGCCAATCGCCAATCAATATGGCATTTTTGGGTCAAAAAATGTGTGGTTTTGGGGTCCCAGCCGTTTGGTTCCCGTTCCCCACATGTTGAGGGATGACTCATGAGTCGCCCACCAGGCCCAAGTCCAGGCCTCCACCAAGGAATGGAAGGTCAGTGCGCACAACAACAAGGGCCCAGTGAGCAGCCGGATCTGTTGCAGCAGGGTCCCGTCACAGGAAACATCAGGAAACTATGGCATCTTATGGGATTTCATCCAAAAAATACAACAAGAATGACAAGAATGGCTAATGGGGTGCCTCCACCAACCAAAGATGGTGAGATAACCGCTAAAACTCTAGCAGATGAGCTCCATGGGTGGCGGCTTGGCGGCTTTGCCACCAATCGCAAGCCTTCTAGGACTCTAGCATCGACAACATTCGCGAACTATGGTTCGAGGACAACCCCGGGGGCATCTGTAGGAATAAGGAAATTGCAAAGTCACAAGTTACACACGGATTATCTTTTGACGAGCTGAGATGGCACCGGTGCACCTCTTGCTTGCTTGAGGTCTGCTGTGAAGTCTGGCTATGGGTCTCCTGCACGAAAACACCGGCGCGATGATTGACATCTGCATGGGACTGTCGTTCGGAGGTAAAATGCGGTTCCTGTTCATGCGCCTCCCCCAACCACCAACGAATTGGCGCAATTGCATGTCGACTTTGAAAGTCATCAGATCCAATTCGAGCTGTGAAACCCGACATAGTTACATATACATACATGCATGCATACATTACCATTACCATTGCCATTACCATTGCCATTGCCATTGCCATTGCCATTACCATTACCATTACCATTACCATTACATATATATATATATATATATATATATGTGTGTGTGTATATGTAACGTATATGTTGTGTGTGTGTGTCTATCTATCCAGCCATCCATTCATCTGTCGATCTATTTGTCTTGCCCCTTCAGTACAGCATCGGCCCAGCCTCATCGGAGGGCGTATTGGTGGAGACCACACTTCGCACCTCCGGCGCTTTGCGTCCAACGACCTTCGCAGTGGGCACGGGATGCACGGGCCAAGGTCTCGGCCGAGGACCAGGGGTGCCCAGGTGAACCCGCCGTGAACCACCAAGTTGCCCAATGATTGGGGCCCAATGACTCACCATTTGGATCCATTTGGGGTGTTACTTAAATTTATGAAGGTACTTCAGGATAATTATATCATGTGAAAGTGAGAATGGAACATACTAAAATATATTGAATTAAGCCGTACTAAAACCTCAAAACCATACCATGCCATACCATACCCTGAACCGAGTTTGGCATTGGATGACTCCCCATGCCACCTGGCCAGTCGCCACTGGCTTCTCCGCGACCAGGCGTTCCAGCAAGGGCTCGACACAGGCCTCCACCTGAGGCGCAGAGTGTGAGGCGCCAACTGACTTCACCGAAAACGTCACTTGACGTGATAACCTTTCCAGTCCTAGAGGTATCTTGAGATAGGGATAGCAAACAGTTTTTGGCTGGAAATGTGGCAAATGGTTGACCACCGCTGTGGTCAGCTCAGCTGGGAGAGATCCTGACCATTCGTGACCTCCATGCCGCATCCCAAGTCGAGTTCCCCCACGAAGTGCGTCACCAAAACACCAACGCCACAGAGAAGTGGAGCCCAAGGATACGCCTCCTCTGACCTTTCAGCGGGAAATTTTGCTGCCTAGAAAGATCCGAAAATGGATGGCTAATCCCCAGTTTCATCCAGTTTCATGATATTCATGGGTTTGTAGTGGGATTCTAATGGCATTACAACTCTCGAAGCCACTGAGTCAATTGTCATCCAATGGATCCAACAAATCCACCATATTTCCAGCATCGAATGTCCAAAAAACGCTCTGGGCAATCCGTACTCTCCGGCTGCGGATTCCTTTCAACCAGCTGAGGCATTGATAAGCTCTCCCTGCACCTCAACTGGTGGAACATCAACATCTTCGTTTTTAACCTCTTGTAGGAGATTGTAGGTATGGTATGGATGTGTTGTGCTTGGTGGGGGTGGTCCCTAAAGTTAGTCACTGTCAGCTGCGCTCAAAGCAAACACAGTATATCCGCCGACCCCGGCAGACGCAAGGGGGAGTGCGCTAGGGAATAATACATTTGACCCTGGTTTCGGACTACTACTACTACTACTACTACTACTACTACTACTACTACTTTCCAAGGTGTTTTCCCATTTGGCGACCGGATGTAAAGGTAGCCAAAATTCAAGGGGGAGCGCGCCAGGGAATAAGACATCGCATGTGCCACAAAGCCATGCGAAGGGTGCGTTTGTGCACGTTGGCACGAAATCAGGTGGCGTTTCAGCGTTTCGAATGGTGTCCATGAGCCGATAAGGGTGCGTTTTGCAGGCTTGCAGCACCACCTTGAGCAGCACCACCCGCAGCATGCAGCAGCAGCAGCAGCAGCAGCAGCAGGCCCAACACCACCCGCAGCATGCAGCAGCAGCAGCAGCAGCAGCAGGCCCAACAGCTGCAATCGCTTTGTTTTTTGTCGAATCCAGAAGGCACCTAGGATAAGAGAGGAGAGAGGAGGAGACACCTAGGATAAGAGAGGAGAGAGGAGGATATTTTTTCTTTTCTAGTAGGATTTCAGAAGGGACGTTCCGGCCCCCAGGGAACTTGTTCTTCCGATTGAGTTGGAGGGCGTTTCGTCGTTCAGTAGCATGGTGTTTTGGTGTGGCGAAGGGTGCGTTTTGGAGGCTTGCAGCACCACCTTGAGCAGCACCACCCGCAGCATGCAGCAGCAGTATTTCTAGTTTCTAGTAGTAGGATTTCAGAAGGGACGTTCCGGCCCCCAGGGAAGGGACATCAAGCCCCGGGACAGCATGTTGTTGGAGGTCGTTCCGTCCTTCACGGCCATGGTGTTTTGCTGTTTCGCAACCGCCCGCTAGGACTTTGTTGTGGAGCTGCTTTGAGGGCATGGGAGCTGCGAATCCAGAAGGGACGTCAAGCCCCGGGACAGCATGTTTTTGGAGAGCTGGTTTCTTGTTGGTTCAGAAGGCAACGTTAGGCACCATCTCCAGCAGCAGCAGCAGCAGCCCCAGCAGCAGTATTTCTAGTTTCTAGTAGGATTTCAGAAGGGACGTTCCGGCCCCCAGGGAAGGGACATCAAGCCCCGGGACAGCATGTTGTTGGAGGTCGTTCCGTCCTTCAGGGCCATGGTGTTTTGCTGTTTCGCAACCGCCCGCTAGGACTTTGTTGTGGAGCTGCTTTGAAGGCATAGGAGCTGCACTTTGGAGCTGGTTTCTTGTTGGTTCAGAAGGCAACGTTAGGCACCATCTCCAGCAGCAGCAGCAGGCCCAGCAGCAGTATTTCTAGTTTCTATTCTAGTTTCTATTGGGATTTCAGAAGGGACGTTCCGGCCCCCAGGGAAGGGACATCAAGCCCCGGGACAGCATGTTGTTGGAGGTCGTTCCGTCCTTCAGGGCCATGGTGTTTTGCTGTTTCGCAACCGCCCGCTAGGACTTTGTTGTGGAGCTGCTTTGAGGGCATGGGAGCTGCACTTTGGAGCTGGTTTCTTGTTGGTTCAGAAGGCAACGTTAGGCACCAGCTCCAGCAGCAGCAGCAGCAGGCCCAGCAGCTAAACTCGCTTTGTTTTTACCAGAATCCAGAAGGGACGGAGCTGGTTTCTTGTTGGTTCAGAAGGCAACGTTAGGCACCAGCTCCAGCAGCACCACCACCAGCAGCAGCAGCAGCAGCAGGGCCAGGTTGTGGAGCTGCTTTGAGGGCATGGGAGCTGCACTTTGGAGCTGGTTTCTTGTTGGTTCAGAAGGCAACATTAGGCACCAGCTCCAGCAGCAGCAGCAGCAGCAGCAGGCCCAGCAGCTAAATTCGCTTTGTTTTTACCAGAATCCAGAAGGGACGGAGCTGGTTTCTTGTTGGTTCAGAAGACAACGTGACGCACCAGCTCCAGCAGCACCACCACCAGCAGCAGCAGCAGGGCCAGCAGCTGCAAGCAGCAGGCCCAACTTTGTTTTTACCAGAATCCAGAAAGGACGTCAAGCCCCGGGACAGCATGTTTTTGGAGGTCGTTACGTCCTTCAGGGCCATGGTGTTTTACTGTTTCGCAACCACCCGCTAAGATTTTGTTGTGGAGCTGCTTTGAGGGCATTGGAGGTGCACTTTGGAGCTAGTTTCTTGTCGGTTCAGAAGACAACGTGACGCACCAGCTCCAGCAGCACCACCAGCAGCAGCAGCAGGAGCCGCAGCAGCAGCAGCAGCAGGCCCAGCAGCTGCAAGCAGCAGGCCCAGCAGCTGCAATTGCTTTGTTTTTACCATAATCCAGAAGGGACGTCAAGCCCTGGGACAGCATGTTTTTGGAGATCGTTCCGTCCTTCAGGGCCATGGTGTTTTGCTGTTTCGCAACCGCCCGCTAGGACTTTGTTGTGGAGCTGCTTTGAAGGCATGGGAGCTGCACTTTGGAGCTGGTTTCTTGTTGGTTCAGAAGGCAACGTTAGGCACCATCTCCAGCAGCAGCAGCAGCAGGCCCAGCAGCAGTATTTCTAGTTTCTAGTAGGATTTCAGAAGGGACGTTCCGGCCCCCAGGGAAGGGACATCAAGCCCCGGGACAGCATGTTGTTGGAGGTCGTTCCGTCCTTCAGGGCCATGGTGTTTTGCTGTTTCGCAACCGCCCGCTAGGACTTTGTTGTGGAGCTGCTTTGAGGGCATGGGAGCTGCACTTTGGAGCTGGTTTCTTGTTGGTTACCCCGGCAGACGCAAGGGGGAGTGCGCTAGGGAATAATACATTTGACCCTGGTTTCGGACTACTACTACTACTACTACTACTGCTACTACTACTACTACTACTACTACTACTTCTTTCCAAGGTGTTTTCCCATTTGGGGACCGGATGTAAAGGTAGCCAAAATTCAAGGGGGAGCGCGCCAGGGAATAAGACATCGCATGTGCCACAAAGCCATGCGAAGGGTGCGTTTGCGCACGTTGGCACGAAATCAGGTGGCGTTTCAGCGTTTCGAATGGTGTCCATGAGCCGATAAGGGTGCGTTTTGCAGGCTTGCAGCACCACCTTGAGCAGCACCACCCGCAGCATGCAGCAGCAGCAGCAGCAGCAGCAGGCCCAACACCACCCGCAGCATGCAGCAGCAGCAGCAGCAGCAGGCCCAACAGCTGCAATCGCTTTGTTTTTTGTCGAATCCAGAAGGCACCTAGGATAAGAGAGGAGAGAGGAGGAGACACCTAGGATAAGAGAGGAGAGAGGAGGATATTTTTTCTTTTCTAGTAGGATTTCAGAAGGGACGTTCCGGCCCCCAGGGAACTTGTTCTTCCGATTGAGTTGGAGGGCGTTTCGTCGTTCAGTAGCATGGTGTTTTGGTGTGGCGAAGGGTGCGTTTTGGAGGCTTGCAGCACCACCTTGAGCAGCACCACCCGCAGCATGCAGCAGCAGTATTTCTAGTTTCTAGTAGTAGGATTTCAGAAGGGACGTTCCGGCCCCCAGGGAAGGGACATCAAGCCCCGGGACAGCATGTTGTTGGAGGTCGTTCCGTCCTTCACGGCCATGGTGTTTTGCTGTTTCGCAACCGCCCGCTAGGACTTTGTTGTGGAGCTGCTTTGAGGGCATGGGAGCTGCGAATCCAGAAGGGACGTCAAGCCCCGGGACAGCATGTTTTTGGAGAGCTGGTTTCTTGTTGGTTCAGAAGGCAACGTTAGGCACCATCTCCAGCAGCAGCAGCAGCAGCCCCAGCAGCAGTATTTCTAGTTTCTAGTAGGATTTCAGAAGGGACGTTCCGGCCCCCAGGGAAGGGACATCAAGCCCCGGGACAGCATGTTGTTGGAGGTCGTTCCGTCCTTCAGGGCCATGGTGTTTTGCTGTTTCGCAACCGCCCGCTAGGACTTTGTTGTGGAGCTGCTTTGAAGGCATAGGAGCTGCACTTTGGAGCTGGTTTCTTGTTGGTTCAGAAGGCAACGTTAGGCACCATCTCCAGCAGCAGCAGCAGGCCCAGCAGCAGTATTTCTAGTTTCTATTCTAGTTTCTAGTAGGATTTCAGAAGGGACGTTCCGGCCCCCAGGGAAGGGACATCAAGCCCCGGGACAGCATGTTGTTGGAGGTCGTTCCGTCCTTCAGGGCCATGGTGTTTTGCTGTTTCGCAACCGCCCGCTAGGACTTTGTTGTGGAGCTGCTTTGAGGGCATGGGAGCTGCACTTTGGAGCTGGTTTCTTGTTGGTTCAGAAGGCAACGTTAGGCACCAGCTCCAGCAGCAGCAGCAGCAGGCCCAGCAGCTAAACTCGCTTTGTTTTTACCAGAATCCAGAAGGGACGGAGCTGGTTTCTTGTTGGTTCAGAAGGCAACGTTAGGCACCAGCTCCAGCAGCACCACCACCAGCAGCAGCAGCAGCAGGGCCAGGTTGTGGAGCTGCTTTGAGGGCATGGGAGCTGCACTTTGGAGCTGGTTTCTTGTTGGTTCAGAAGGCAACATTAGGCACCAGCTCCAGCAGCAGCAGCAGCAGCAGCAGCAGGCCCAGCAGCTAAATTCGCTTTGTTTTTACCAGAATCCAGAAGGGACGGAGCTGGTTTCTTGTTGGTTCAGAAGGCAACGTTAGGCACCAGCTCCAGCAGCACCACCACCAGCAGCAGCAGCAGGGCCAGCAGCTGCAAGCAGCAGGCCCAACTTTGTTTTTACCAGAATCCAGAAAGGACGTCAAGCTCCGGGACAGCATGTTTTTGGAGGTCGTTCCGTCCTTCAGGGCCATGGTGTTTTACTGTTTCGCAACCACCCGCTAAGATTTTGTTGTGGAGCTGCTTTGAGGGCATTGGAGGTGCACTTTGGAGCTAGTTTCTTGTCGGTTCAGAAGACAACGTGACGCACCAGCTCCAGCAGCAGCAGCAGCAGGCCCAGCAGCTAAACTCGCTTTGTTTTTACCAGATTCCAGAAGGGACGTCAAGCCCCGGGACAGCATGTTTTTGGAGGTCGTTCCGTCCTTCAGGGCCATGGTGTTTTGCTGTTTCGCAACCACCCGCTAATATTTTGTTGTGGAGCTGCTTTGAGGGCATTGGAGCTGCACTTTGGAGCTGGTTTCTTGTCGGTTCAGAAGGCAACGTGAGGCACCAGCTCCAGCAGCACCAGCAGCTGCAGCAGCAGCAGCAGGAGCAGCAGCAGCAGCAGTAGCAGGCCCAGCAGCTGCAAGCAGCAGGCCCAGCAGCTGCAATTGCTTTGTTTTTACTAGAATCCAGAAGGGACGTCAAGCCCCGGGACAGCATGTTTTTGGAGATCGTTCCGTCCTTCAGGGCCATGGTGTTTTGCTGTTTCGTAACCGCCCGCTAGGACTTTGTTGTGGAGCTGCTTTGAGGGCATGGGAGCTGCACTTTGGAGCTGGTTTCTTGTTGGTTCAGAAGGCAACGTTAGGCACCAGCTCCAGCAGCAGCAGCAGGCCCAGCAGCTGAACTCGCTTTGTTGTTACTAGAATCCGGAAGGGACGTCAAGCCCCGGGACAGCATGTTGTTGGAGGTCGTTCCGTCCTTCAGGGCCATGGTGTTTTGCTGTTTCGCAACCGCCCGCTAGGACTTTGTTGTGGAGCTGCTTTGAGGGCATGGGAGCTGCACTTTGGAGCTGGTTTCTTGTTGGTTCAGAAGGCAACGTTAGGCACCAGCTCCAGCAGCAGCAGCAGGCCCAGCAGCTGAACTCGCTTTGTTTTTACCAGAATCCAGAAGGGACGTCAAGCCCCGGGACAGCATGTTTTTGGAGGTCGTTTCGTCCTTCAGTAGCATGGTGTTTTGGTGTGGCGAAGGGTGCGTTTTGCAGGCTTGCAGCACCACCTTGAGCAGCACCACCCGCAGCATGCAGCAGCAGCAGCAGCAGCAGCAGCAGCAGCAGGCCCAACAGCTGCAATCGCTTTGTTTTTTGTAGAATCCAGAAGGCACCTAGGATAAGAGAGGAGAGAGGAGGAGACACCTAGGATAAGAGAGGAGAGAGGAGGATTTTTTTCTTTTCTAGTAGGATTTCAGAAGGGACGTTCCGGCCCCCAGGGAACTTGTTCTTGCGATTGAGTTGGAGGGCGTTTCGTCGTTCAGTAGCATGGTGTTTTGGTGTGGCGAAGGGTGGCTTGCAGCACCACCTTGAGCAGCACCACCCGCAGCATGCAGCAGCCGTATTTCTAGTTTCTAAACTAGAAATCTAGTAGGATTTCAGAAGGGACGTTCCGGCCCCCAGGGAAGGGACATCAAGCCCCGGGACAGCATGTTGTTGGAGGTCGTTCCGTCCTTCAGGGCCATGGTGTTTTGCTGTTTCGCAACCGCCCGCTAGGACTTTGTTGTGGAGCTGCTTTGAGGGCATGGGAGCTGCACTTTGGAGCTGGTTTCTTGTTGGTTCAGAAGGCAACGTTAGGCACCAGCTCCAGCAGCAGCAGCAGCAGGCCCAGCAGCTAAACTCGCTTTGTTTTTACCAGAATCCAGAAGGGACGGAGCTGGTTTCTTGTTGGTTCAGAAGGCAACGTTAGGCACCAGCTCCAGCAGCACCACCACCAGCAGCAGCAGCAGCAGGGCCAGCAGCTGCAAGCAGCAGGCCCAACTTTGCTTTTACCAGATTCCAGAAAGGACGTCAAGCCCCGGGACAGCATGTTTTTGGAGGTCGTTCCGTCCTTCAGGGCCATGGTGTTTTACTGTTTCGCAACCACCCGCGAAGATTTTGTTGTGGAGCTGCATTGAGGGCATTGGAGGTGCACTTTGGAGCTAGTTTCTTGTCGGTTCAGAAGACAACGTGACGCACCAGCTCCAGCAGCACCACCAGCAGCAGCAGCAGCAGGAACCGCAGCAGCAGCAGCAGCAGGCCCAGCAGCTGCAAGCAGCAGGCCCAGCAGCTGCAATTGCTTTGTTTTTACCATAATCCAGAAGGGACGTCAAGCCCCGGGACAGCATGTTTTTGGAGATCGTTCCGTCCTTCAGGGCCATGGTGTTTTGCTGTTTCGCAACCGCCCGCTAGGACTTTGTTGTGGAGCTGCTTTGAAGGCATGGGAGCTGCACTTTGGAGCTGGTTTCTTGTTGGTTCAGAAGGCAACGTTAGGCACCATCTCCAGCAGCAGCAGCAGCAGCAGGCCCAGCAGCTGAACTCGCTTTGTTTTTACCAGAATCCAGAAGGGACGTCAAGCCCCGGGACAGCATGTTTTTGGAGGTCGTTCCGTCCTTCAGGGCCATGGTGTTTTGCTGTTTCGCCACCGCCTGCTAGGACTTTGTTGTGGAGCTGCTTTGAGGGCATGGGAGCTGCACTTTGGAGCTGGTTTCTTGTTGGTTCAGAAGGCAACGTTAGGCACCATCTCCAGCAGCAGCAGCAGGCCCAGCAGCTGAACTCGCTTTGTTTTTACCAGAATCCAGAAGGCACGTCAAGCCCCGGGACAGCATGTTTTTGGAGATCGTTCCGTCCTTCAGGGCCATGGTGTTTTGCTGTTTCGCAACCGCCCGCTAGGACTTTGTTGTGGAGCTGCTTTGAGGGCATGGGAGCTGCACTTTGGAGCTGGTTTCTTGTTGGTTCAGAAGGCAACGTTAGGCACCATCTCCAGCAGCAGCAGCAGCAGCAGGCCCAGCAGCTGAATTTGCTTTGTTTTTACCAGAATCCAGAAGGGACGTCAAGCCCCGGGACAGCATGTTTTTGGAGGTCGTTCCGCCCTTCAGGGCCATGGTGTTTTGCTGTTTCGCAACCGCCCGCTAGGACTTTGTTGTGGAGTTGCTTTCAGGGTATGGGAGCTGCACTTTGGAGCTGGTTTCTTCTTGGTTCAGAAGGCAACGTTCGGCACCAGCTCCAGCAGCAGCAGCAGCAGCAGGCCCAGCAGCTGAACTCGCTTTGTTTTTACTAGAATCCAGAAGGGACGTCAAGCCCCGGGACAGCATGTTTTTGGAGATCGTTCCGTCCTTCAGGGCCATGGTGTTTTGCTGTTTCGCAACCGCCCGCTAGGACTTTGTTGTGGAGCTGCTTTGAGGGCATGGGAGCTGCACTTTGGAGCTGGTTTCTTCTTGGTTCAGAAGGCAACGTTAGGCACCAGCTCCAGCAGCAGCAGCAGGCCCAGCAGCTGAACTCGCTTTGTTTTTACCAGAATCCAGAAGGGACGGAGCCGGCTTCTTGTTGGTTCAGAAGGCAACGTTAGGCACCAGCTCCAGCAGCAGCAGCAGCAGCAGCAGGCCCAGCAGCTGAACTCGCTTTGTTTTCACAAGAATCCCGAAGGGACGACAAGCCTCGGGGCAGTATCTTTTTGGAGGTCGTTGTTTTGGAGGCTTGCAGAATCAGTTCCAGCAGCACCACTAGCAGCAGCAGCAGCAGGAGCAGCAGCAGCAGCAGCACCAGCAGCTGCAATCGCTTTGTTTTTAACAGAATCCAGAAGGATCCCGAAGGGACGTCAAGCCTCGGGGCAGCATGTTTTGCCAGCGCAGCAGCAGCAGCAGCAGGCCCAGCAGCTAAACTCGCTTTGTTTTTACCAGAATCCAGAAGGGACATCAAGCCCCGGGACAGCATGTTTTCGGAGGTCGTTCCGTCCTTCAGGGCCATGGTGTTTTGCTGTTTCGCAACCGCCCGCTGGGACGGCAGCAGCAGCAGCAGCCTATTTTTTGCAAGTTTTCTGTTTTGTTTCTAAAGTTTCG